GGGAGGGGGAGGGAGGGGGAGACAGAGGAAAGAAAAAGGACAGGAAGGCTATGGATGGATGAGCGGATGGGTGAAAGTGGGAGCTGGATAATCGAGAGGAAGGGAGGGGGCGGAGGGAGAGACAGGAGGGAGGTGGAGGGTTAGACGGAAGGGGGAGTGAGGTGGAGATGGAGAGGGGAGTTGGGCAAATAGAGAGGAGAGAGGAGGGGGGTACGGCAAGGAGAGAGGGGGGACGAGATACACAGACATGAAGGGGGAGAACGAGACGAAAGACAGAGTTCGTACGAGAGAGATGGAGAGAGCAAGGATGGTCAGTCAGATTCCGCAGACGAAAAAGAGCCTTCATCCACCCGGATAAGATCCACGGAGGGCTTTCTTCTTCATCGAGAGAATGAAAACTCGACAGCAGATATGCCGATCTAAGGGAGAGATAAGAAGAAATGGGAAAATGAGGAAGAGAGATCCAAGGAGAGAGCAATGCAAAGAGAGAACGAACCAACGGGCCTAGCTCGGTTGGTGCACCCATGAACTGTTGAAATGCAGACCTGAGTTCAAGTCCACATGAAAACTAGATGCTGAAGCCAGATCAAATTTCGATCCATTTTTAAACCACCAGTACTTGGCCCAGCTATTGAAGCCGAGCCTGAATATGCCCTGCGCGCCGATTTTTGCCGAGCCTGCAGTGAATGGGAAAAAATACAGGACATTTGTTGCTTCAAGCAGGTGCCGCCCCTTATGCTGGACCTGCTGCCAGCAGATGGAACATAAACAGGCCGTCTTTTTCTTGTTTCCACTCAGGTGGCACCCGAAGCCTCGCCAGGAGTGCAGCCAGTGCGAAAGATCTTCTTCAAAAAGAAAAAAGAAAAAAACGGGTGAAAAGGGAAACCAAGCTATGCACTCACATGACGCGTTTTTACATCTAGATACATTTGGGAGAGTGTGAACGTTACACTGTCAGGCACTCAATGCTCCACATGTCCAACGGGGAGTCAGATCACGAAGGGCCAACGATCTTCTTCAGAAAAAGCAAAAAAAAAAAAAAGGTGAAAAGGGAAACCAAGCTATGCACTCACATGTCACGTTTTACATCCAGATACATTTGGGAGAGTGTGAGCGTTACACTGCCAGGCATTCAATGCTCCCCGTGTCCAATAGGGAGTCTGACCACGAGGTGCCAACGATCTGTTTCGTTTTTTTTTTTCTCCTTTTCGTTTCTGTTTTTCCCCTCGTTGATTTCAGTGTCCGTGTGTTTCCACATAGCACACCACCAGGACATCACGCAGTCCTTTTGCCCCATTTCCATGGGGCCACCAGCTCCCTCCCCCATTGCCATGCCAAGCCTTTGCCGAAGCGCGGGAAACGCGTAGCGTTAACGCTAAGGGCCCGCGGCCGATGTATGGGCCAAGTACTGGTGGTTTAATATTTTTATGCATTGAAAAAAAATATTGCATAACAAAATAATATCTTGCGCGCTTTATCAACTTGCTCGATTGATCAAAACTTCTGTTTTTGTTTTTGGGTTTAGGGTTTTGGGATTTTGTAAAGTTCTACTGAAAAAAAAACAGATGAATGACAGTTCTTTTACGAAAATGATGTATACCTCATCTACCAGGACGAAAACCAAACACTTATGCACCCATAGGCAGTCGAATTGAACCTAAGTATTCTCAAATACCGAAGTGTTCTCGAATATTTAAATCTTGATACAATCACTCTCCATAATAATGAATTTGAGTCAAGAGTTTAACCACCAGTACCTCCACGTTTTTAGGCCGTTAACGCGGTGGCTAAATCAGTGCACAGCGCAGGTCCATATGCATTTGCCTCAGAGCCTCCTCAGAGGGGGCCTAAGAGCCTCCCCTGGGGTACTGGTGGTTTCACTGATAGACCGTCCTACATTTCTGAACCATCTGGGGCCAGTCAGTTCCACAATGATACCTCAACGCCACTACTGCCATTTCTGACAAAAAGAACAAAAAAAGAAAGAAGAGAGGATGAGGGGAGACAACTCGGTCTTACCTTCACCAGTGTGCTTCTCCATCACATCGGGTGGAATCCCCTCCATTCCAAAGATCTCGATCTCCGTTGATTCACGGCCAGGCTTGGAGTTCGGGACCCTGTGAAAAAGAGCGACAAAAGATTACGAAACACATTCCCAACGAGTCAGGAAAAAAGAAGAGAAAAACGGAAAAGAGTCCAGTAGGCCTTTTAACTAAGTAAAGTCAAGTATAGTATCTGTCCTGTTCTGATCAGTTTGATGTGTCTGATCCGTGGGGTCCATGGGTTCGGGACCCGGTGAAAGAGCGACAAAAGATAACGAAACACATTCTCAACGAGTCAGGAAAAAAGGAGAGAAAAACGGGAAAAGAGTCTAGTAGGCCTTTTGGCTAAGTAAGGTCAAGTATAATATCCGTTCTGTTCTGATCAGTTTAATGTGTCTGATCCGTGGGGTCCATCGGTTCGGGACCCGGTGAAAGAGCGACAAAAGATTACCAAACACGTTCAAAGAGTCAGGAAAAAAAAGACGAGAAAACGGAAAAGGGTCTCGACCTATTGGCTATAATAAGTAAGACCAAGTGTAGGATCCGTGGTCCATCGGACCAAATTAACAATTAAAAAACAAAAAGGAGACTAGGAAACGAAGTGGAGAAGAGCAAAAAGGCGACGGAGGTAGGTACAGATCAAAGTACCGTGTATTTTATTAGACGACGGAGGTAGGTACAGATCAAAGTACGTGTATTTTATTAGGCGACGGAGGTAGGTACAGATCGAAGTACGTGTATTTTATTTATTAGCTTTTAGCTCTAAAAGCAGGAGTATGAAGAGAAACAAACCCCGCAAATGTAAGCCAAGAAGAAAGCACTGACAAGAAAGCCTGCCCTCATCCCCCGAATAGAACGCACCGTCATTTACTTCTGTAGACTGACAATTGCCCCCCCCCAAAAAAAAACAGATACAATCCCCGTCCGTTCTATCACGGGTAAGAAAGACACTAGTGCCCAGAGGAGAGCGAAACACGATGGTCAAATTAGGACAAAGACAGACAGGTTGTGTCGCACCAGTCTTCTAGCCTCTAGCGTCGGGAGCGTTAGGCTGTAGGGTCGGCTGTAAAATCGTTTTGTTCTTTTTTTTTTTTTCTGGTATCGATTTTAAGACCGATTTTCTCTATAGATGCAGGGCATCATTCTCACGTTCGGTGAGGAGATGGCCAGGATGTGCCGCACCAGTATGCTAACCTCTAGAGTCCGTACTGTTAAGGATGTACGGCCGGCGTTAGGGTCAGATGTAGGGTGGGCTTTAGCGTCAGCTTTTTTTGTCTAAAGATACAGAGCATCACATCCTGTGAGGCCATTAGTCAGGAGGTGGATGTGCCGCACCTCTAGAGTCGGTAGTGTTAGGATGTAGGGTCGGCTTCAGCGTTGGTTTTCTCGATAGACGCAGGTGTGTAGGGTCGGCTTTAGGGTCAGATGTAGGGTGGGTTTTAGGGTCGGCTTTAGGATCAGATTTAGGGCCGGTTGTAGGGTCGTCTTTAGGTACGCATCAGCGTCAGTTTTCTCCATAGAGAGAGCTCCGTAGGGTCGGCTTTCGGGTAAGGGCTTTAGGGTTGTCTCTAGGTACGGCTTCAGGGTGGGGTTTTTCTACAGATACAGGTGTGTGAGGTCGGCTTTAGGGTCGCCTCCAGGTACGGGCTTCAACGTCCGCTTGCTCTATACATACAAACGTGTACGCCGTGTAGAATCGGCTTTAGGCCAAGCTTTAGGCTCGGCTTTAGGATCGGCTTCAACGTCGGTTTCCTCTATAGATACATAAAGGCTCGGCTTTAGGATCGGCTTCAACGTCGGTTTCCTCTATAGATACATGGCAGCAGTGTCGGTTTCGGCATATAGGGCGGCTATAGGGTCGGCTATAGGGTCAGTGTCCGTGTCGGCTTTCTCTATACATACAAGCGTGTACGCCGTGTAGAATCGGCTTTAGGCCAAGCTTTAGGATCGGCTTTAGAATCGGCTTCAACGTCAGTTTCCTCTATAGATACATGGCAGCAGTGTCGGTTTCCGCATATAGGGCGGATATGGGGTCGACTATAGGGTCAGTGTCCGCTTTAGGGTCGGCTATAGGGTCGGCTATTGGGTCAGCTATAGCAACGGCTTCAGTGTCAGTTTTCTCTATAAATTCAGGGCGGCTTTTTCCCGTCTTGTGAGGGATGCATGGGCAGTTCCAGATTCGTTGAAGGATTCATGCGTGTTTCTCTCTTACGGCCCCGGCATACACGGGTGCCTCTGTCCCGACCCCGACTACCTCCCTCGCACCGCACAGGAGCAGCTCTCTTTCGGTTGATAATTGACAATCTCTTTTTCTTTTTTTTTTCTTGGTTGTCATAATCAGTACAACTCTGACCAACTGCTAAAACAAAATCACAAAAACAGTAGAGCAGAACATGACATGACACCAACGTAGAGATTTGATGCTACCGGGTCTAGCTGAGCGATCAAACAACAAAATCAAATAAAAAGAGATCGACTAAGCTGCATTTCCACTTTTACTGTTGCAGGTCGGGATAGAATACCAGGATTCACCCCAAAAAAAAAAAAAAAAAAAAAACAAAAAAAAAAAAAAAAACTAAATCACAGCTCACTGGGCTTTATATAAAAAAAACATACCAGAAACGGCTGAAGACAAGATTCAGAGGAGTCTTTTATTCTTATAAAAAATATATCTCCTTTCCAATCCATCAAAAAAAAGGAAAAGTAACCCCGGTTGTCGATAAGCATCAACGACTACCCGAGGTGGGCACCAACCACTGCCCTCAAGGTACCGGTGACGTCGTCATATTATATATATCGTCCATCACATCTGCCCGGTAAACCGTAGGCAGAAAGGAAGAAGAGGACAACAAACGAGGGGCTGTGACCAACTGTTTCGTCGTCGGAGTTCATACATATATATATATCGTCAAATAGAACTGCCCGGTAAACCGTAGGCAGAGAGGGAGAAGAGGACAACAAACGAGGGGCTGTGACAAACTGTTT